GGGGCAAAATGTATTATGGTTTATAATGGCAAATGATACTTTGAATATTACATGTTAATAACTAGATTGAAATTATAACCTTGAATTGACAGTTTGATACTTTGAAAATTTTGAGCCAGCCCTATCCCAAAGGGCTGTAGGGTGGGACTCAAAGGAGTCAGTGTGCTAAAATTTCTTCATTTTTCCTTGTTAAAAATCAGAGGTGTTAGTTTCAAATCCTTTTTAGTCTGAAATCTGTATGCTAGATATTGAGTAAGGTGGTTTTATTGTTTTTTGTCACTTTGAATAATATTTCTGTTCATGTTAAAAACAAAATCAACTCTCTGTATAAATATATCAGGTGACCGTTAAGGCCCATGGGCCTCTTGTTATTTATTATTTTCATTAGTGCAAAACATTTCGTAATCAAATCAGACATTAAGTTAATCAATATAGCTAGTCAGTTTAAAGTTTGAATACACATGTCATAAATGAATTAAAATGAATTAAATTGACACAAAAGTAGACATATTTTATGATACTACGCATTTTATGATCAAGACCAGTGTTATTGTAACTGACATGTTTCTTGTCGTAAATACACATTGATATTCATGATATATATTGATAATCTATAATTAAGTTTGAAAATAAGTTATTCATAATACCAGAATTAAATCTAGGAAGAAAACAAATCAATATAGTATTCCTGTGGACGTTTAAACCCTACGCAGTCAAACAGAATTATTGGTATTATTGGAAAAACATGGGAGGCTCAATATAAATGGTTATGATTCCCACAATAAACAAATCATTATTTCGCTCAATTTGTCTGAATCCTCTCAATACACTATCTGTGATGGGATATATTTACGTTAGGTTTGATCATCTATCAATGGTTATATCATTTCTGATAACCTTTCCACCAGATTTTCTCATAAAGGTTGACTGGCTATACCCATTGATTATACAAATGTTGTGAAGGCATCATGCGCTATGTAAGACAAAACTTGTATAGTCATGTTTGTTAGTGATTTAAATTCTCCGTGAAATTTCTCATTTCTGTCGTCATGTTACACCAAATTAAAAAAACCTTGAAGGCCAAGTCTGTTCTTTGCTCATCATGACCAGCTCTGTATGTTGGATTTTCTTCATAATCATTGTATGTTGTATTAGTCCAAACCAAGTAAAACACTGTTTGGCTGTAATTGGCTCGAACAATAACTTCTCCCTCACATCTTTACGTGTCAAGTGGGCCAAATTAGGGAGGATATTATATAGATATAGCGATAAGTTCTCGGCTAGAATTTGTCTTCAAAGTCATTTTCCAAATAAAGTTTATGTTTGTCAGTAAAATTGATCTGAATGAAATGTTGTCTAAGAATTTGGTTATTGTAATGTGTTTCCAGGTTTATGACGTAGAAGAAAAATGAAAGCATGTTCTGCAATATATATATAATATGAGGAAGGATATTTCTATCCGGGGATGACTGATTACTGGTTATTGTGTATTATGTAAAGCCAAAGAAAACAACAACTACTTTTTCATTTATATCAGATAGTATTATCTCAGGCTAATTAAATTATAAAAGCTGTTGTTAGGAAGTTTTGATTTAGTTACATCTGAGTCATTCAACATAATTTGTCCAGGACTTATACAATTATCATTCCAAAATGCTTTCACCAAGTTTTTGACATGAAACAAGTTTCTCAACTGGTTTTTGACATGGAACAAGTTTCTGAATTGCATTTTAAAACCAAATTTATTTGTTTATGGACTCTAGAATAATGATTCATTTCATTGAGCATTGCACAGGAAGCCAATTTCTGATCATATCTGTAAAAATCTAGATCCCCAGACAGTAATTTATGATTGATTTTTCACTTTGCCAATTCAATATTTCACTCATGAATTTTTTGTTACATGTACGAGGACATGGAGTTATTTCCTTTCATCAATGTTTTGAGATCAATCATGGCTGTGAGATCAATCATGGCTGCTATATTAATCTATGTTTAAATTCTCGTACTTTAACATACTGTTTCATGTGAGAACAAGACGAGCAATATTTCACCAATGGTCACCAATGGTCACCAATAGTCACCAAAGTTTACCAAGGGTTACCAAGGGTCAACAAAGTTTACAAAGGGTCACCGACCAAGGATTACCAGATTCACCAAAGGTTACCAGTTAAAGTGTCATCAAAGTTTACCAAGGGTTACCAAAGTTTGCCAAGGGTTATCAAGGGTCACCAAAGTTCATGAGGGGTTATCAAGGGTCCTCATAGTTTATAATTACCAAGGGTTACAAAGGGTCACCAAAGTTTACCAAGGGTTACAAAGGGTCACCAAAGTTTACTAAGGGTCACCAAAGTTTACCAAGGGTTACCAAGTCGTACACTCTACATTTCTACATACTTGCCACAAATGCCAGGAATCAAGCATTGTGGTCAGCCAAACAGTTTGGGTCTTTCCAGTGTCCTCCTAAAAAAAGGACACATAGTTGTAGACATCAGTCATGAACATAGGGCAACATACGTTTTCCCCCGTGCAAACCGAGGATCTTCTCGACACAGTTGAAATAGAAGAAAACTACTAAATCTACAGGGGGAGCAACATCAGTGGACCTGCAGTGGGACAATTTGTTTGGTTTCTTCAAATGTCCCCACGTAACCATGGAAGTAACCATCCCCATTACAGAGGACATTGGATGCCTGTTACTAGGATGCAGTTAGATATAACGGGCCTATTTTTTCCCAAAGCTTACATGGGTTGCAAATGACGTTTGGTTAATAATGTTAAACGATAATACGACAAAGACAGAGTTGTGTCACCATAAAGTTGTAATCTATAGCAGGTATGGAAGAAGTTTGCAGAAATATTTCTAAAGAAAATTTACTGATTACTTGTTTTCTTATTTTTCCAGTTATTGAACAAAACATAGAACAAGAGGAGCATTCCAACAAATCATCTGCAGACCTTAGAATACGAAAGACACAAGTATGTATTTACACCAATCATCAACAGTTTCAGAAAGACTTCAACACACTTGCATTGGTAGATTTGGAAATTAAAGTTGTATCATCACTTGTCAGTTTTAGTGTGAAATTCATATCAGCACTTTCATTGGTCAACATCAATTTGCAAGTATGTGTGAGCACTTTTCATTGGTTGATTCACATGTGGAAATATAAGAGCACTTATGTGGTGACATTTATCTGATTTTGTTTTATATACCAGAATAAGAGACTTTTTTCATTAACATGCAATCAAGTGGACACCTATTATAGGTCCATTGTATTGGTACCTTTGTTGAGTGAAGGTAACCTACCTTTCTGTAACATAGTTTCATCCCCCCAAAAAAAAAAAAACTTATAAAATAATTTGTTTTTCATTAATCATAATTTGGCCATATTCAATAATTGGATGACTCATAACTATGAAAGGTGCACAATAAGGCAGGGATTCTGACGAGATGATTGTTACTTACTATATAACATCATTTAAAGATGGATTTCTGCTGATTTTTAGCAATATTTCACCATGAAAGATATTTAACATTATGCATTAAGTTTCCTTAAATACCACCAAATAAAGAATTTGTTAAAGAGAAGTGCTGGAATAATGAATAATAAACGTATAGCTCCATTGAGATGCACTACTTTTACTTTCCATTTATAAAGCCCGTTTGATTAAGGGAAATAGGGAAATAGGTAAAGGTATGGAAATAGGTAAAGGTATGGAAATAGGTAAAGGTATGGAAATAGGGTAAGGTATGGAAATAGGTAAATGTATGGAAATAGGTAAAGGTATGGAGAGGTACAAAGAACCATGTGTTGTTGGTTAGCTTACAGTCCTTTGGGATGGACTTTTTTTCAAGCATATTAAAGCACAATAAGACTGCTTCAAAACATTATAACAAGAAATGCATATTACGTACGCTTGAAAGTACTAAAAATTAGCAGAACCCGTCTTTAAATATTAAAAGGAAGTCGAATATGAACTTAACAAGATTCAAAATTACAGTTGATTGTAGGGAAAACTTCAACATCTTCAGTGGACAGTTAGAAACATTCCATAACCTTTTTTTCATTCTGTATACCAGGAAATTTTGTCACAATTTAACTTTTCTACCTTTTCTCCCTAAGTAATGAGAACAAATTTATCATGACGGAAAATATTTATACACAGCATATTATACATAACCATTACATGTATGTGGAGGGCGGAATTGACACTAGGCAACTCTGGATTTGAAAAGGGAAGGGTGAAAATTTGATGTGGTAAAACATTTCTGGTATTCAGTATTTTATATCATGACATGAGGAAATCACACTTGCATCATCATTTTCCTCTTATTGATCAATTAAGTGATATAATTAAACATGTATTGTAAATGGGTCAGTTCAACCTTCATTTCCACTAATCTGTTCAGTCATACAAAGGAATGAAATTAATATCATTAAATTGTGTGAAGAAAGATAATTTGACATTTACAAATTTTGTTGAAATTGAAGTCTATAAAAGCATGTCTATTTTTTCATATTATATGTGTCCAATGCTAAGATATTACTTTTGCAATATTTCTTGTCTTTAAATTAAGTTTCATTTTCAGATTTATTCATCAAAAAATGCAAATTGGGATTTTATGGCTTTTCTGACGCACACAAACAAAAGGAAAATTTGCGAAAAACCATAGAAATATTCAAACAACTTAAGATAACTCATTACTGTCCAGTAGAAAATTTTCTAATTTTTCTGAAGCTGTGAATCAATTTTGAATAGAACTGAATTTGTTTTTACTTTGAAATTTTCCACTGAAATAAAATAGTTGATTACATTCTTGACAAAGAAAACACAAGCAAACCTGTTGAATTCATCATTTTACTTTCCAAATATTTGGGGGCAACATTTGAAGAGAAAATTTCCTGCTTTATTCATTTTCAGGATTTTTTTCAGCAATTCTCCAGAAGGTTTCTTTTTCAGGTTCTTTCATTAGCACTAAAAGAACTTGCTTTTACAAAAAAATCAGAAGAACGTGGATGGTTAAAAAACAAAATTCTTAAAAGTTGACAAATATAGTGATATTAATTTTAATCTTCAAACTTCTCACCAGTCTGATAAACTATTTTGTCTGAACCATAAGCTTGTTCTCTTCAGTGGTATGTCAAAACTGTAATACTTGTAGCTCCTTCACCCTCATATCTCTTGTTCCAATGCTTTCCTCTCATTAGAATTTACCTTTTTGGCAAAATGGTTTAACTAAGATTTAATCTAATGCTTCAGCTAAACAATGACAACCTAGGTAACCTTTCACTGTGGTAGTGGGTGCTACATATTACAATAATTCAAAAAGAAATACCAATTTTTCAATGCCCAACATTTTTGTAGGAAAGATTTGAAAAAAACACACTTAAAAATGAACTTCTTAAACAGGTCAATTAATGCAATTATTTACAGAACAAATTAAATTCTATCATTTCTTAAATTGAAATGCAAAATTAACCTTTTAAATCGAGTAATAATTACCATAAATTCAGAGATTGCTTGCTATCTACAATTACACATTGTTTGTATCCCAGTATAAAAGATTTCAATCTGTAACTTTGTGTCAGAAAATCACCTGTTCAACACATTGCCCGTTCATGAGGAAGCAACATGGCATTTTCTTCTGCATGAAATGCTGAGGGCGGTCCCAAGGAGAGACTATTGAATTGAAATCCAAGGTTTCTTGAAACTTTTATTGATAGCTATATAGGTAGTAATACATTTTATGCATACGTAAGTTATGCTAAATATTTTATCATGAAAATAGATTTTACAATTGAAATGAATAAAAAATCTTTTTTTTATAGTTTCTTGTTTTACTTCATATTTTACAAAATTCATTCTTTTGTCACATGTAATTATTGCATAACAAAAATAATGAAATGGACTAGAGATAAAATATTATCGAGAAATTTTCATTCATACTTATTTTTAGATGACACCAAACAAGTATGTACAGCTGAATTTCTGTTTAGTTTTTATGTTTCTTTGATGTTCATACTTATTTTATTTAAAATCATTATAATACAAGCAAAATTTAGCTACAAAATTTAGTTGTTGAAGTCCATGTCAATTTCCTAATTGGCAGTTTCATTTTTTTGTCTACATTTATTAATGAGATTTCAAGCAGTTGCAAGTTAACTCTATCAAATATAATATTAAGTTAATGTTTTAAAACTTTTTCACATAAAACTATTAATATTTAAACAATGAATTGGTTTAAATATATTCTTTCCTATTAAACAAAATAATACCATTAATATTAATTTTCCATCTTAATTACTTCCTACCAAACTAAATGTTATTTAATCCGTTCTGACATTATTTTCCTATTAAAAAAAATAAAAAAAGTTTTAGTATTTATTTTCTATTGAACTAAACAATTTAAATATTTATTTCATATTGAAGTATTTCTTTTCTTTCTAAATCTATTAATATTTCCACTTTGATGTGTAACTTTTTCTGTAGTATTCCACAATATCACGTAAATTTGTGGAAGTGATGGGAGTGTACAACCAAGCTCAGCTAGACTACCGAGAGGGGTGCAAAACTCGAATTAAGCGTCAAATGGAGATCAGTAAGAACGTTTCTATTCTGCACGGCGTTTCTTTTTAAATCTCCTCTACTAGATCAGCCCAAACCTCTTACTTTGCTCTAGGTAGCAAAAGAACATCTCTTCATTTTCTTTTTTTTTCATTTGTTTATTTTTTTCCGATTTTTTGTTCACAAACGATTGTTCCATTTGGCTGGCTGTATTTTTGTATTGAATACTTCAGTTAGTCTTGGTTCACACTTCAAAACTATTTGCTTTTGAAATTCAGGATGAATTCCTGTAAAGTTTTGGATCAAAATATTAAGGTTTCATTTTCAGATAAAAATGCATACCTTCGGTAAATGGAACAGTCATTTAAACTATTTTTATTTGATTTTCTAGTAAACTATAAACTTTTGATGGATTTTTTGTGTTTTTTGAATAATTTCTGTACATTTCTTTTCATTTCTGCCCTAGCACGCCACATTATCACGTAAATTTGTGGAGGTTATGAACGATTACAATTCGTGCCAGATAGACTACCGTGAGCGATGCAAAGGACGCATTCAGAGGCAGCTGGAGATCAGTAAGCCATCGTTTCGTACTTTTTGCTTGTGCTGCTGTCTCCCCCCCCCCCCTTACGTACAAAATTACGCTGAGTTCCTTATTTGGTATTGTCTGCTAATTAACTATCAATTACCTGTAGCGTGGGCCTGTGAGCTAGCGTAAGTGCATGTCAATCAAAACCTGATAGTTGTTGTACTGCTTATGTCTTCAACATTTTGCTGACCTGATCGTAACAATGTTTGTGGAATTGTCGGAGATCGGTGGCCACAATGTTAGTCAGAGTTGTCAGAGATTTTATAAACAGTCTAACAATGAAAGGTGTAATTTGGTCGTCTTGTTTATTGCTATCGCAGTTATTTCTAAATGCTGATTTTTCTCTGCAGTGGCCTACAATCGTGTGTAAAATATTGAAATAGAGTAGCTTAAATCCTTACTTATTGTTGCTAAAATTGAGTCTGCTAACATTTTTCGATGTTTTTAATTTTATTCCTTTTAGTACATAATGTAAAATTTGAAATAATTGAAATTTTGCCTGATTTCTTTTTTGGACGTGCTTGGATAAGCACAAAGTCACCAACTAAAATCCATGTATTTTTATCTTATTTTTTGTCAAATTTTACATAATTTTTATCTGTAGATCAAGAATGGGTGTTAGATTGTTTAGTTGTAATATGTGCACTTAAAGCAAACTGGTCCATGTTATACAGGCTTTTTCTCCAGAGTGTGAATTTTGTAACAAATTCTTTTTAGATTTCATCCACTGCTTTCCCAATTGTTAATCCTAAGTGTTTCTTGTCCCTCTGTACGCTGTACAGGAAGTACCTGTTGTTACTTCGATGTCGTAATCCATGTCAGTTTGTCCCTGTCAGAATTGCTGACTTTCTATATATAGATTCGAATAAAGATGATTTTCCATTCAAAAAATCTAAAACATTCTAAGAACATTGTGTTATTAGATTAAAGATGGAGACATTTTTGAGAGACATCCTGTAATTATTTTTCAGATAAAAATTCTGTACTTCAATTTCATATGGGAACATTTTTTAGATGCACTCTATAATCAGGTTTCAGATAGAGAAATTTGATAAGAAACGTTCTTAAATTATATTTAAAATAAATATCTCTGATTTAATGGCATATTCCATTTACCATAGTTTCATAGAAAATCTTAAGGCATTTCAATTAGGGAGTGTATAGTTATTCATTGATTAATCAATTGATACAGGAGAGATCAATAGTGTAGAAATACATCCAGCCAGACTGAGATTGATTATTCAATTATAGTATAATCAGTGACAGGAGCCGTGGCTTTTTATGTCATTTCCCTGCGCTCTGTGATATGTCTATACAACAGTCACAATCAAACCTGTATGATATGTTTTTGTGAGAATTCTCTCCGTATTATTGTGTATCACAGTTTCTTTTGAAACAAATATTTCATTGTCAGGAATATCTCAATAGATATGGGGAAGGGTAGGCAGTTGTATTTTATAAATAGGAACACAAAACATGTATTTATGAAATTATGTAAAACGTATGATGAACTTGTCAAAAGAGTAGAAAAATACCTGTTTTACATGTTTTCTTTATATCTTATTGTTCCGCCCTTCAGTGATTATCTCCCTTTATGCTTTAATCGAAGCATTACCTGTTATCTCAAGCACTTTTGTATACCATGTATGGACTGTTGTTTGATATTTGACCCATGATTTGTCAGTGAATTGTTGTTCCTTTCCCTTTTCATTCGTGGAAAATTATGCATCATCTTCTCCAGTTTAATATCGTGTTGATGAATCACCAAACCGTGATTTTGATCAAATTTTTAATTGATTGTTACATCTGGTTTCCTCATTGATTAAAATGACCCCAAATCTGACCCAGATTTTCTCCTCTTTTATTCTCAACGGTGATCCCAGATTTTTCAAACAAGTAGGAACTGTTTCCAAAAAAACATTTATCTAATAAAATATTCTCAATCTGACTAGGAATTAATGAAGAAATGTCTCTCATTTTCTGATGGCTGTGACTTTTTCTCTTCGTGATTCTGAGTTATTACCTTTGTTTCCTTGATGACAGAATGTTGCCCATCATATCCAATTGAAAGTGAGAATCATCTCTTTTTATTTTATTGATTAAAGGAATTTTATCAGTATGATCCCTTATCTTACGAGAGAATGCACAATCAACAGCCAGTTATATATTTTCTGGGCTGTCTTCAGCATTTCTCATTGTTTGACTTTAAATTGATAACATTTTTTTTGAAAATTCTTTAGAAAAAAATGGCTTGTGATAGCTTGTTTTAATTTTTGTTTTGAAAGTAGTATATTTAAAATTTCTTTGAAAAAAATCCACTGAAAGATATGTTAAAAGGACTGTAGGGGAAGGCTCAACACAGACAGCATTACCAGTTCTTAGTTCCTTTATTGGTATTCTAGCAACTTGTCTGAAAGATTGTTTTTCAAATATAGGAACACTTCTATAAAAAAAATCACATACCACTCTATGTGAATGCTTCTTTGGAGACACCTTGGGCAGCTTTTGACCCATTCTCTATGTGGGTATGTATGTTTGGCCTATAGAACCGGCCCCTGGTCAAGACTGTTGAGTATTACACCCTTGTAAATACTGACCTGGCGAAAATAATGACCTCTGCTATACTTGTGTTCGTGTAGGAGCTATTGAATAATGACAAAAATATTGAGCCTTGCTCTCACAAACATTGCCGTGTCCCCTGATAACACTTGGGACATAAGGGGTTTTCTGGAAGGGTATAAGATCAAACAAGGTTTTTTTCTGGAAGGGTATCAGATCAAACATGTCACCCTGCAGGTGAAATAGTTGCATCTTACCAGCTTAGTAAGGAGAATTTCTGGGGTTGAATCCATGTGAAGACACTTATTAAAAATAACCTCGGTTACACCTTGATTCTATTTCTTTAGAAAACTAAAATGATAAATTATCAATCTTGGTGTGATATATAAAGTGGATACTGTGAAAGGTCATATCCAATAGTAAGAAGTGGGTTTCATTCATTGTTCACACTAAAACCACAAAATGAATCTTGTGATAGATTTCCTGTTTCTCCTATGTTTCCTGTATTGTAATGTGTGGCTCTGTATCACGTCGTTGTCTCCATGGTTTTGTTTAAACTTAATCAGATATCATGTTTACAATACAAGACCTTTTTGTTATGGGAAAGTTTACTGCTGTTTCTACAAGCTTACTTGATATGAATGTTACTACAATGTTTCTAGAATTTGGGCTCAATTGTCAGAAATTAAGGGATCCCTCCCCACCCCCTCTCCACTTACCCACCATACCCAAAGTTACACTGAAAAATGGTTTTGTTCCTCTGTGATTCTAGAAAGATTGTTCAAGGTATGTTACAATCTCTTCAACAAATTTAGTTTGTTTTTGCATAGTTAAGTACCAGCGGTATGTTAACACCAAGTTCTATACCTGATTAGATTTGTGTGGTTGTCTGTCAAGGGTAAAAGGTCAAAATCACACTTGACTTGTTTCAAAGTAACTCCTCTATAAATTTAGTGAGTATTTAAACCATAGTATGGTAACCAAGTTCTTGATCTGCTTTAGGTGGTCAGCCTCAGGTCTTTAAGTGATTATCAGTCAAGAGTAAAGGGTAAAAATCACACTTGACTTGTTTCAAAGTTACTCCTCTACAAATTGAGTCAGTATTTATTGGATGGTACATGTATGCCCCCTGTTCGTGTTGTTTGTAAAATCACCAACTTTCCAAAAGAAATTTTATTAAAAGCTGAAATTGACTCCAGCAAAATAACTGACTTCCCTAAAATAATATTTCTTCTATATTGTTCCTTTTATGGATCTGAACTTTGTCCATTTTCGCATTATATTTTTGTAAAATTTCTGTTAAAAATTACTACCATAATTATAGAGGTAATGTCCCATTTTATCATATCTCGTCTTGATGAATGGAAAATTGCTGCCCTGTACGGAAGTCTGCATAGCAAAGGGAAAACCCGGCCATTATTTCTGACGTGTTATAAGGAAAGTAGCTGTTATACGTAAGATGGCTGCCTGTTTGTTCTTTACTGTGTTAGATTGTTTTAGTTGTCATAGAGGCCATCTATAGTGTGACGCATGAGTTGTGGACAGAAAGTTTGTTGTATTTACGAATAGGATCTTTTGTTCTGGACAACATTTACCTCGAATAAATGAGGAACTTTTGATGGTGTACAGTATTGTAACTTAAAGGTTGACACTTTTACTATTTTGTATATTTCAAGGTTGTGACTTTAAGAATTATCTGTAACTGTCAAGTTACGTCAAATTGAATACAGGTTGTACATCCGTAAACTGTTTCTTTCGAAATAGATACTGATTTTGTCTCTTTGCATATAGCGATTTGTAATATGAATTTCTTGTTCATTAAACCATGACACAAGACAACAGAAGTGTTAGATCATGACGTCTTTGCCATTTCAGTCATAGTGATGTTGTTTGTAGTAAATTGGGCATCATTTGCTATCAATTTTGTGGTAGATTACTGTCATAATAGTAGATTTGTAATTAGTAGTGAACAACATGAGTGAGAGAAAGAAACTTTGTTGTTTTAGATTGATGATATCCTGATGTCTTTGATGTGATTTGCCATAGAGATAGAACTATCATTTGGTTACCATAGCAATAGAGATTTGGTGTCAATAATGTCTTTTACTATAGAGATATATTAGTTACCATAGCAATATAGCAATGTTGTCATTGATATTCCCTACCAGGGTTAGACACTAACCTTTTTTTGCTTGGTAGTCCACAGGACTAGTTGAAATGATTATTTACTAGTTCTGTGTCAATGTAACTAGTCCAAGATTTCCTTAAGAAAACATCGCGATCTACAGCATGAAACATCAAAAGTAATCAACTGTAGGGGACTTAAAATAACTGCCTTAAAAATATAGTAAAGGATTTAGTTAATCTTTGACAATTTATAATGCAATATATCTTATTTTAAGCAGTTTTTAAAATCTTAAAAAGGAATATTCTTACCTTATAACAATATTTTTCACAAGTCTAAATGATCAGTTAGGTAAGGTGATTCACTAGTCCTTGCTGAAATCTACTAGTCCAGGACTGAGCGGACTAGTGTTAGTGTCGACCCCTGCCTACCATGGAGATAGAACTAGCATTGGTAACCATAGTAATAGAGATTTGGTGTCAATAATGTCTTTTACTATAGAGATATATTAGTTACCATAGAAATATAGCAATGTTGTCATTGATATTCCCTACCATAGAGATAGAACTAGCATTGGTAACCATAGCAATAGTGATTTACAATCATTGATGTCCTCTAACATAGAGATACATTAGTAGCCTTAGCAATATATATATGTCTTTCTATCATTTCCATAAAGATATGATGTCTTTGATGTCATTTACCATAAATGTAGATACAAATTGATTTGCCATAGCTATAGATCCAGCATCATTTAAGATATTTATATTGACACATGTTGCACTTTTGGGCAGATATTTTATTTTTGGCACCCTACACAGTCTTTACTATGTAATTATTATCTTATCATGTGGCTGTTTTACAATTTATCTGTTGAATTAATTTCCAAAATTATTATTTCAGGAACTCTTCAAATATTTGCAAAGATTTTATGTATGACTATGTGACTGAAGTATGTATATACAAAAATAGTTAACGAGGTTATGGACATGAAACATTTCAAAGAATATTTATGTATAAAAATGTCAATTTTCATTTTATTTGTTTAAAGTTTTACTTTTATCTGGTAATATTCTTTTGGTTTGATTATAAATGTGGCTTGAATTACAACTAAATGTAAACGTTTGTGTTATAGCTGGAAGAACTACAACAAACGAGGAGCTAGAAGACATGTTAGAATCAGGGAATCCGGCAATATTTACACAGGGGGTACGTACACCAAATATGTACACTGATGAGGCCAACCAAACATATCATTCCTAATACGATGTCATAGACTGATGAGGCCCACCAAACATGTCATTCTCCATACAATGTCATACACTGATGAGGCCCACCAAACATGTCATTCTTCATACAATGTCATACACTGATGAGGCCCACCAAACATATCATTCCTAATACGATGTCATAGACTGATGAGGGCCCACCAAACATGGCATTCTCCATACAATGTCATACACTGATGAGGCCCACCAAACATGTCATCCTTCATACAATGTCATAGACTGATGAGGCCAACCAAACATATCATTCCTAATACGATGTCATAGACTGATGAGGACCACAAAACATGTCATTCTCCATACAATGTCATACACTGATGAGGGCCAACCAAACATGTCATTTTTCATACAATGTAATACACTGATGAGGGCCCACTAAACATGTCATTCTCCATACAATGTCATACACCGATGAGGGCCCACCAAACATGCCATTCTTCATACAATGTAATACATCGATGAGGTCCAACCAAACATGTCATTTTTCATACAATGTAATACACTGATGAGGGCCCACCAAACATGTCATTCTCCATACAATGTCATACACAGATGAGGGCCCACCAAACATATCATTCTTCGTACAATGTCATATCATTCCTTTTACAATGTAATAAACTGATGAGGGCCCACCAAACATATCATTCCTAATACGATGTCATAGACTGATGAGGCCCACAAAACATGTCATTCTACATACAATGTCACACACTGATGAGGGCCAACCAAACATGTCATTTTTCATACAATGTAATACACTGATGAGGGCCCACCAAACATGTCATTCTCCATACAATGTCATACACTGATGAGGGCCCACCAAACATGTCACTTCTAATACAATGTAATAAACTGATGAGGGCCACCAAACATGTCATTCTACATACAATGTAATAAACTGATGAGGGCCCACCAAACATGGCATTCTTCGTACAATGTCATATCATTCCTTATACAATGTCATACACTGATGAGGGCCCACCAAACATGGCATTCTCCATACAATGTCATACACTGATGAGGCCAACCAAACATGTCATTCTTCATACAATGTCATACACTGATGAGGGCCCACCAAACATGGCATTTTCCATACAATGTCATACACTGATGAGGCCAACCAAACATGTCGTTCTTCATACAATGTCATACACTGATGAGGCCCACCAAACATGTCATCCTTCATACAATGTCATAGACTGATGAGGCCAACCAAACATATCATTCCTAATACGATGTCATAGACTGATGAGGCCCACAAAACATGTCATTCTACATACAATGTCATACACTGATGAGGGCACACCAAACATGTCATTCTACATACAATGTCATACACTGATGAGGCCCACCAAACATGTCATCCTTCATACAATGTCATAGACTGATGAGGCCAACCAAACATATCATTCCTAATACGATGTCATAGACTGATGAGGCCCACCAAACATGTCATTCTTCATACAATGTCATACACTGATGAGGGCCAACCAAACATATCATTCTTCATACAATGTCATACACTGATGAGGGCCCATCAAGCATGTCATTCTCCATACAATGTCATACACTGATGAGGGCCTACCAAACATGTCATTCTCCATACAATGTCATACACTGATGAGGGCCCACCAAACATGTCATTCTACATACAATGTAATAAACTGATGAGGGCCCACCAAACATGGCATTCTTCGTACAGTGTCATATCATTCCTTATACAATGTCATACACTGATGAGGGCCAACCAAACATGGCATTCTACATACAATGTCATACACTGATGAGGCCAACCAAACATGGCATTCTCCATACAATGTCATACACTGATGAGGCCAACCAAACATGTCATTCTTCATACAATGTCATAAACTGATGAGGGCCAACCAAACATATCATTCTTAATACAATGTCATACACTGATGTGGCCCACCAAACTTGTTATTACTTATGCAATGTCATACACTGATGAGGGCCAACCAAACATATCATTCCTAATACAATGTCATACACTGATGAGAGCCCACCAAACATGGCATTCTCCATACAATGTCATACACTGATGAGGGCCCACCAAACCTGTCACTTCTAATACAATGTAATAAACTGATGAGGGCCCACCAAATTTGTCATTTGCCATACTGAGAATTTAGTTTTCTGAACATATCATTCCTCATTAAATATTTAGCTATATCTGTTGTCTGAAACAAACATTGTACATTTTACAAGTTCGGGAGTTTATAGCTAGCACCTTATTCAGGAATGTTATACCCAGGTATTATTCTATAATTGCAAATTTCTTCTGTATGTAAAATAAGTTTAAGAACATTTCATCATTTATATATTTTTACTTATTTCAGATCATAATGGAAACGCAACAAGCAAAACAGACGCTAGCAGACATAGAAGCTCGTCATAACGACATTATCAAATTGGAGACGAGTATACGAGAGCTTCATGATATGTTCATGGATATGGCTATGCTCGTGGAACAACAGGTGAGATCTAGAGGTCATAGGTCAGTGTAGAGTTCAGAGGTTTTAGACAGAACATTAGAGGCCATGGTAAGAGCTAATTCTTACTATCTGCCACCGTTGGAGGCAGGTACAACCCTGTGTGCACAACAAAATTTGGCTCCCACTATTGTCAGCCTCAGCATTTACAGGCCCAATTAAAATTCTACTGGTACAATTAAATTCAAGAAACTTATTTTACACTGTTTATATTTGTTTTAATTCATAATTAATTGATTGATATTTTAGTACCATCTTAATTTTCATTCAGAAAATAGTAATCAATACAATTAAGTGTAGATTTTTTTTCAAGGGACTATTGAGGGGATTGAGCCTGTAGGTATAGGAGAACTGCAGGTCCAGTAACAATTTTAAAGGCCCTGGACCTGTGATGAATGTCGCAGACTCTCTATTCTAGCAAGAGACCAGAAGTACTTCCATTTTCTAAATCTTAATACATCACTTCCCACCCTAAAACTTGTTATGAACTATTCTGTCTGGAATGGTAGATAATGATTTCTTATAAAAAGTAATGTTTATTGTTTGCGTTATAGGGCGAGATGATAGACCGTATAGAGTACAACGTGGAACAGGCTGTAGACTATATAGAAACGGCCAAGATGGATACAAAGAAGGCAGTACGCTACCAAAGTAAAGCTAGGCGGGTAAGTGGAGTTATGCCCCTTTAAACATAAAAATGTTTTGAAAGCTGCTAAGAGAGGTGATGATACATAGACAGTGTAGTTAGTGTAATTTCTGTTTTGTTAAGTTGTTTATCAGTTGGTAGAGTGATGTCCCTTTATATATAAAAGATAGTTTGGTGAGTAGGATTTCTGTAAGTTTATGGACCAAGTACTAGATCGGTGAGTATTACAGTGCTCTGTGGTTTGTATAGGGTATGAAGATGTTTTGTTTCGTATCGAAAATAAGCAGTATAGTATATATACCAAAATCATATAACACAAAAAAAAAGATTGTAGAAATAGAGCATTAAGTGTATACAGGATTTGTAAGTAAACAAGTTTTGTTTGTAAATAAGAAAACGAGCAAATCCAAAGCTGTTGAATACGTTTTATCCTTCCATGAACAGATGACTTTGTTTTTTTTATATATTTAACATATACAGTGTCACTATCATGCTACACGTTGTCTGTGAAGCAGTCCAGTAATTTTGGTATTCCTCTGATGTGTTTGCTGATGAATTTTCACGAGCTAATTTTTTCTCTCTTTTCTTTTTCAGAAAATGATAATGATAGTAGCTTGTGTTGTAGTTCTTGTGGTCATAGTTGTCATCATAATAATAACACAAGTTGCCTAGGAAATGTACCACATGACCCAACACAACCATTCTGATTGGCTAATGACATTCCAAAATGCAAATCAAGATTTACCTTTGAAAACACAAAGCTGGCATGCTATGCGACTTTGACTGCCAAGTGTCTTTTTCAAAGAGATTATGGTAGGTTGATCTACATCATGCTGGTGTTTGTAAGGCAGGTAGATGTGTTATGGATATTTTATTGTGTGATGAGCTAGACGAACGGCGATGGAATGCTGAAATTCCTAAATTAGACTGTTTTTGCTAGTGAAGTAACCTGGAAGCACGAAGAAAGATCAAGAAGCGGCATTTCTTCATAGACATGACAGTAGTGTTGTATTTATAAGTGGGAAGGATTGCACTGTAGGCCATCTTTCTCACCCACATTTAGAATATACCCTTCCTCGACTGATATTAATGGAGTCTCTTGGTCCTGCCATTTCCGTCTTAAATTCTCCAGATGTGATAAAAAAATCATTGAAAAATTATTATATTTAAGAACAGAGAAAAAGGGAAGTTTGGAAACAAAAATGAAGGGAATGCTGAAAGCTGTAAGTTTTTATTATGAATTAAAGTCACAGTGTATATCCACAAATTTTGTTGATTTCCAATTAAAACCCTCTATGTCAAATTAACATGTTATTATATGTCTGATCAAAGATAGATGCATGATTTGTGATTTCATCCTCCTCCTGTAGAATGAAAATAATAGATGCACCAAAAATCATTCAATATGTTATATATCTAGCTAAGTATCATTGCCTGGGTTGCATGGAGGTAACAGCTTCCTGAGATAATGTTTGTATCAGTCAAGAGTAAGTACAAAGGGTGTATCCCACAAGGTGGTGGGAATTGGTAGCTTATGTTTCTCTACATAGCTCTTTGTGCAATAAAGTGCATATGCGTAGATATGCATTTCTACCATGATAATCTTTTTTTATCCGTGATTATTGTAAACGTTTTCTTGACGAATTTATCAAGATTATGTACTAGAAAGATTTGTTTCAATTTCAAACATTATTTGTTATGTAAGCACCATTTGAGGTAATATAAATGTTATAAGAAATTTTCCACGAGTGTACCATTTTATACAATCTGAATAGAATCATGTCTAAAGCTCCACTAGAATATCCTTCACATTTATTAGGGAGTCCTATTTCATTTGACCTCTATAATTAGCCAATTTGTGTGTCTATTAAATCTCTCTAAAACCCGTCTTTATATAAAGTGCTATTTTGCTAAATTACTGGCTTTCAAAATTCTTCATAATTCATCGATCAGTATTCTTGTAAAAATATCTCTTTGAATGTTGTTTGAAAATTTATTTTATTTTAAAAGTAAAACTACAAAGTTTTGTATTGTAATCAGTGTGTTATGTGATGTTTTGCAAATGATATTATGATTTATATAAAGACAAATCTAATTGCTGTTTGGGTGGTCAACAATATGAGCCCTGTACACACTGAAGTGACGATGTAACTGGAGCGTTAGATTTGATTTTACTCGGAATGTTATTTGTTCTGTGTGTCGTGACATGTTATTTGTGTGAACTAGCCAGCACCATGCTTTTGAAGTAAATGTCAAACACAAACAGTAGTCATTTTAAATGATACTTCAGTTACCATTGACTACAAACACAAGTCGTGCCACAAAAAGATACTACCTGGTCATATTTAATGCCTATAAATATATAAAATAAAAGCCAAACCGTGACCTGAGGTGAAAACTTACAGAAGAAATGTAAAACATATGTCTATATTGTCATTAAGCTCTGTCACCTGTATGATTTCTGTTGAATCCTCTAAGGTTTGATAGAAAGCACAATAACGTGAGATTGTAATGGAATCAAAAGGATCTCCTTCAGAAAAGATGGTCCCTATCACCCGTAAGGTTGAGGTCCCTATCTTACTCTCAAGGTAGGGGAAGGTTCTGTTAGTCAAAATCAACTTTTAGAAATGACATTCCCAGAAATACCTAGACTTAATACGACAGCCAGTTAGATCGACCTGATATCAAGATATTATTTTTCTGTCTTATGGTTTCCGTGAGCTAAACATCAACATTGATAACCCGTAAGTCAGTGAACTGCCATCTCTGTTACGCTCTCCATACCCTTTGATATGTCATGACGAAGTTAAAGGCAGTGAATGTACCACCTTGTAGATAATAAAAGTAGACCAATTTGATCCTTTGATGTAAAGAATCACACAGCAGCATAACGGTAAAATTGACAGGCTTTGAATTTGAATGTCGCTTAACTCTGTAATCTTAAAAGGAAAGGTATCGGCCTTGCAACTGGTCAAATTTTATTTATCGCAGACCAATCAACTGCAAGGCTTATATTTTGTCATGTCATATTTAAGGAGTGAAGAGAAGGAAAGTGAGCATAAACCCAGGAATTTTGAGGATGTGATGCAAAGTGATTCCTCTAAAACATCAATTCAAACTTAAAGTAAATCTGTCATGTGCTTTACAGTTATAGATATGGATGTTAGCCATGCATGACTTGACATATGGCGATGTAGATTGGTTAGGCTTTTTTTCCCATATGATACAGGCTTTGTCCTTTACCGTACAATTTTACGTCCTGTATACTTATAAAGTATTGCAGTCATTAAATGAAGGTATAAACCATCGTATCGAATCATTATTGGTAAACTAGAACTGCTTGGCTTGCACAAACTTGTATGGTATCTTGCTCAAGTATCACGCACAAATCAATTAAATAGAATTAGCGCTTAAATATCACAATACCTTTTCCAGGATTCAGTTTTTAATGGTTCTAGAAATTCTGCTTTAATTTCTAGATTATTTCCAAGGTTTTTGGTTTATTATGATTAATGATAGACTTTCTGATTGTTTAGTATTGTTTATTTCATCACCAACTAAAATGTTTGATGATATGGAAAATGATGAATGAAGTGATTGTTCACAAATCAATATGTTAACCAATGATATGTCACAATAATCAACCATATTCTAAAAAATCATACTACAAAATAATTTGATTCAACAGATTATTCTTATCATGAGAAGCAAGTCTTCAGAACTGAAAATTGTTTTACGCTCACTGATTTGCTGACCACCGTTTTATGTATACCTGACTAATTAATAATATTTTGCATCTCCTCGGGTCATTAACGCTATCACCCCTATGCAACTTTAATCAGCTCGCCCATACATTGATCTGGATGAGTCCATTATGGTGTACAGTGGTGAAAGGGTTAACAGAAAAGTTTTGGAACATTTTCTGTAAAAACAAATTCCAATATGCTACATTTGAAGTAAGGAATTTCATTTGACGAATATTGAGGGAATTCAGCAAAATTTGGCATATTTTTTTTATATATATATATACACAAAAGTGTATGTCTGTTTGAGTGTTTATTATATATCAAAGCTGTATTTGGCTGTTGAGGAGATGCAAAGTTTGTACATCCTTGTTCCATATTGTGTTAACCCTTTTACCCCTGTGTAACCAGTAGACTCTACTGTACATTGATCTTGAGAAGTCCATAATGGTCTGCAGGGGTGAAAGGGTTAACCAAGTTTTTAAAACATTGATAAAATATTTAATATGACGTACAAGACCAAAACTTTGCTATATTGAATGTTTCCAACCGTACAGCTCTTCAAATACAGAAATAACAAAAGCATTTGAAAGATGAGTTTAAATGTGTACCAACTGTATTACCATAAAAATGATGTATCAATCATTTATTTATAGATTCTATAGACAAAGTGATATAAAATATTACGTTGTGGAATTTCGACAAAGACGAATGGAACAAGGATGATATTTCTGTGATTTTTTTTATAAAGCCCAAAATTTCTTGTAAATCGTTGAAATTAATGGTCACATTTGTTTCTGCTTGTATAAAGCTTCGATTGATTATATTTTTTTACTTTTCCTCAGGAAATTTGCTTAAAAGTGCCCTGTTTTCATTGAATGTTTATTAGTTGTGTTGTGAGTCTTGCCACAGGTTTACCCCTATAAAAGTACCACTGATCTAGGGCTGGACTTATAAACGATGTTCCTGTCTCTTTTGTTGTGACAATATCTAATTGTGGGTGTGTATACTTCCAATCTTCTTATTGTTAATGCCAACATTTAGTCTTTCTTCTTTTAAAAAAAAATGACATTAATTTGAAAGTTACAACAAAAAATAAAGTGTATATTTCTATTTAAAACTTGGTTTCAGAACATTACCAACCAAACGAAAAAGTTGTGTGAATGGTTAACCTGTGGTTAGACTGATGGGGCTACAAACAAACTAATGTCTAGTCTTTTTGTTTACCTTCCTCAGAAGTTAACTTTATTTCTGATCATATCTTTCAAAATCATGGGAAATATTTCTGATGAAGACACTGCCTTTATGTAGCTGAAACTGACTCTGTATTCATCTTCATCATTCAAATATTACAACAGATTGATGTTACATGTTACAATCAGAAAAAAATAAGATTTTTCTTTTATCTGGAAATATACGTATAAACAATCATTCAAACAAACGCAGTATTGTCATTTACGCAAATGGAGTTTTTTGTTATGTTGATACATTAACAAAGAAAAAGAATTAGAAGTTAACATCATATGATAAATCAGTAATTTATATGATATATGGTTATGTTAAGTGCTGTGAAACCATTCGTCAATTTAAAAAAGTAGATTATTTCTGAATACGTGAACTAAGGTTTTGTTATGATTGATTTGAGTAAAAAGAAATTGCTGCTGTTAAGTACCATTAAGTACCAACAAAACAGTCAATAGTTAAACTGGTAAGGGATGTCTATGATGAACTTAAAAAAGGCCGGAGATATCCAACCCTCAGCAGCAATGTAAACCTTGATCTAGAGGCTGGAAACTCGCTAATACAAAACATACGTCCTTACAAGTTTTAAAATAAAAGAACCAAAGTTCAATACACGTTAACTTTGTATCTATAGGTAAAAACTAATTCAAGTGGTGTTGGTAATGTGTGTTTGAATAAGAAATCCGTAGTTCATCTTATGTAACTTGTTACTACCATTCCATTTAGAAACATACACTATAACAATATAACGCAATGACATCAATACACAAAATGAAAACAAAAGGAGTCCCTTGTTCTTTACCAGGATCGGATCAGTAATTGATGTATACCTTATTTAACAATAGTAAAGATATTGCAGAGTTATCTTCTCTTGTGAGCAGGTATTGATTGTTACATCATTAGTTTGTGAGTGAAACGTAATCAATTTTTGAGAAAACGATGTAGCTTTCTCACACAAACCAATGCCGTAACAATCAATACCTGCTCACAAGAGCAGATAACTCTGCAATACGAAAAGATGGAATACCTTATTTAACAATAGTAAAGATATACCTTATTTAACAATAGTAAAGAATTCATTGACTCAAACAGCATTAATGGTTTTAGTAAATAAGGTTAGCTGCTAGAGGAAAACTACTTTATGTTTTGCAGATTTTTATTTATATTTTCATTTAATAATGTCTACAATTTTCTAATCAAATGTTACTGATTGTTGTGTTTTCACTAGCGATGGTACATGTACCGTTAGTGTGAACATCTAACGTCTATGTCTCATGATTGTTCTACCAACTATTTATTCCATTTTGTTATGATTGTGTATTATGATTGTTCATAAATCATTTTTGTATCCAAGACTTGACCTTTTGTGTTGTTTTAACTAGGAATACTACAGCATGAATAAAGGGAGATAACAATTGTAAGACTGATAGATAATATCCTCTCTAAAATTTGTTAATTTCATTATAATTATATGTAATCATTATGTGTCAAACTGTTTTCTATATTCAACCATCATGGACTTGCAGAGTGTAAGGACTTGACGAAAATAAGCAATGATGGCTACTCTTGTGTAGGTTGCTAAATATCATTTATGTTAATCAGACGACAGCAGTTGACGTGATAGGAACTAAACACTTCTCTGCTGTTCAAATTATACAAACCCTACCCAACAGGTACTGGTTCCTCTGATCACATACAATCATAGTACAATTCTTCAGTGAAGACCAATTTCATTGTCTTTGTGATGGAGATAATTTTCTTTCCATTCATAGATGATTCTACATGCTATGAACAACACTTTTGATGTCGTCCATAAAAATAAGGTAAACAAATAGCTTACTGGCTCTTTTTCTAAGAAAAACAAAAGTCTTACTGTATGTTAGAGATTCCCCAACGAAGTTTGATTTCTGTGTTAAGTATAGACGTTTCTATGGTGATATAATACATAGTACACTCCCGAAGTTTGATTTCTGTGTTAAGTATAGACGTTTCTATGGTGATATAATACATAGTACACTCCCGATGTTTCACAAACAACATTTAAGTGAGATCGAAAGGTTTTATATGTAATATAAAAACAATTATTATGAATATTTATTGCTGGATTTTATATTCATTTTTACATCTTTAATTGTAATCATGTTTCATCTATAAATTCTTTTTTTCCTGGGGATTCTTTCCACTTGTTTACGAAGTCCCCTATACAGTGTCCCAACAGAAAGGTTGAAGTTGTAGGGTGTTGTGGTTTTATTAGCCTGGACCAGTAACGTGATCTACTTATTCTATTTCTAACACATTTTTAGGCTAGGTAGTTAGTGAAATGGAGATTGTAGGTTAAAGTCAGTTTTGTGTGAGTTGTTCTCTTCATCAATGGTAACTAAGCATAAATGTTGTCGTTGTGTCGAATGTTGACTTTTCAGCGTTTTCTCCCCCATTGCAATAAATGTCAGATGAATTATGCAACACTGAACAAAAATTGCTTAAATGTGTACATGTTATTTGTCAGAGCAGGTTCCCTATTTTTATCATGGATTTTACTGTTTTTAAAGCTTCCTAGGTAAATTGTGATGGATGAGATCTATGAAAAAGAACATTGTCGTGAGATTATCATTGTCGCTGGTTCCATACATAGGCTATTTCTAACAATGTTGGATGTTAAACGAGTTCGCTGTCGAAATATTTCTTTCCAGATGATACAAAACTAAAAACTAAACTAAAATATTTGAGAAGTGTAAATGTAGTTATTAATGATTTTCCAAAAAGAAATATGATTGATTTAACACTTCTTATAAGAACAGTGTTGTATCCAAAATAAGTATATTTGAATTAGATAATGATGATAGATTGGGTAAGATCGGTCTTTTTTACACTTAAGTTTAGCATGTACCATCTATGCGAAGATAACTTGACGTTGTTCTCTTTAAAATATACCGTATCATATTTCATATTTGTTTACCATGGCACATTGTTGAAATGATTCATTTTGAAGTACTGTTGGTCCGCGAGGTATTCACAATGATTTGTACAGTATGTTGTATATCTGTATAACAAGGGAAGTGTGTTATCGTCAATGATCATCAACATTTAAAAAAAAACTAAGTGTGTTATCGTAAATGATCATCAACATTTAAAAAAAAAAACTAATTTGTAACTTATTTTTGTAACACATATTTTTGAGTGAAAATTCAAGGATTAGTTTGAAATTGTTACCATACCTTGATTGAAGTGGAATAAGTCTCGCTATTTAATGCTTCTCGTTGTGTTCATCCTATTGCTGATAGCCAAGTCCCGTTTTCATGTGTTCATTCTACATTCATCAATTTGCTCAGGATGAAATGGTAATTTTTTCTGTCCAAATCGACCAATCATCGTCTTGTTTTTATCCTTGGAAACCTAAGTAGGTCAATGTATATAACTGGCTTTTATATACAATATATATATATATTAATGTACTACTATTAACAATTAGACAGCAACATTATCATTAGATCATGTATGTATTTATTATAAGGTCACTACTGTATTGTACATATTACATGATTGTGTATACTATTCTTAACAATTGTTATGTTTATAATTATTCCACTGTTTCTTATTAGATTTTAATTCAAATTCCGATATTGTAAGCTTAATGTAAAGAAATTGTTGATATTTCAATAGAAATTAAAAAATAGGACTTGATTGTGTTATTTTGTTTCTTTTGTTTCACATGGAAACTTCATAGTGTCACAATTGTTGACCGATACCTCAATTTGACCTGTTATAGCCAACACAGTACACATTGTTAAAATGACAACCATGCAGTCATCTTGAATTCCACTATAAAAGTTTGCTATCACAATTTCTTAAAAAAGTAGAATACAAATAAATTGAACAGATATTTTTCCAGTTCCCCAGTGCTGCATATTTCAGTTTGATCTTTATCAGAAAAAATAGCTGGCAGTGATCTTTTTTTGGTCTTTTTTTCCCCCCCACAAATAATGGTCCATGATTCTAGTTCACATGTTCAAAGGTAGCCTATC